CGTATTTAAAAATAACTTTTGATTTTTCAAAAATCCTGTAAACGGACATTAATTAACGACTACACTGCTAAAAAAAAAAAATAGCATTAGCAATTTATATAGCTTCGTTTTTTAAGCAAATTGGTGTCAATCACCTATTTTCTTAGACAACTTCTAGAACACATTACCCTAAGCACGTTACGCACGTTACAACTCTTCCTTATTGTTATACAGTTGTATCCAATTTATCATTTAATTTCAAGCTTTTTCCAAACTCATTATGCATAGATCTCATTAGATACATATACAATTGCTAATAACGTATGTTTGTTTCCAGAGGAAAAATGAAGTTGTCAATTGCAACATTTGTGTGTTTCACTCTTATCCTCGGATTCATCCTTCACACAACAATAGCCGATGACGATTCGAGTTTCTGCGACTCCAAGTGTGCCGTTCGATGTTCGAAGGCGGGGCGTCAAGATCGATGCCTAAAGTACTGTGGAATCTGTTGTGAGAAGTGTCATTGTGTTCCATCTGGTACCTATGGGAACAAGGATGAGTGCCCTTGTTATAGGGACATGAAGAACTCCAAGGGAGGACCGAAGTGCCCTTGAAATTCATCCCTTGCTCAAATTTATGGAATTTTACAGGGATATGAGGACTTAGTTGCCTAAATATTGTATCAAAATCAGAATAATAATAATGTGATATCAATGCAATAATCTATCTATCTCCTCTATTTATAATGGAAAATTCTCTACTAATTCTTTAAATACGGAATTGCTTTTAAATCTTAAACTTCTGATTTTGACATCGTAAATTTTTAAGGAAAAAACGGAAGAATCTGTGCAGAAGCTCCCCATATTATTATTATTTTAACTTCTTTAATTATCAACAACCAGCTCTTTTAAAGTCTCACACGAGACCGATCAAGTGAAGGAATTAGTGTTGGAAAGGTTGATGCGACTCATTCATTTGCCTTGAAGATTGGCGTTAGACCCCTACCGATGATAAGATAGGATTGATTCAAAGCAAAGGAAATGCTTCTCCACTACGGGAGACGCTATAATCTGCGAAACCTCTACTATATAAGGGAACAAACCTGCGTTGGCGTCAATCCATCCTTTTCTTTTATTTAACAGATAGTACGAGTGCTGCTTTCAGATGCAGTAAAACCCATTATTTGTAGCCTTTAGAGGGGGGGGGGGGGGGGGGG